TAGATAGATAGATAGATAGATAGATAGATAGATAGATAGATAGATAGATAGATAGATAGATAGATAGATAGATAGATTAAATGTAATGGATAGATGGAGATAGACAGATAGATAGATAGATAGATAGATAGATAGATAGATAGATAGATAGATAGATAGATAGATTTAATTGAATGGATAGATGGAGATAGATTACATTGAATGGATGGATGGATGGATAAATAAAGATAGATAGATAAATAGATAGATATAATTAATTGAATGGATGGATGGATAAATGGAGATAGATAGATAGATAGATAGATAGATAGATAGATAGATAGATAGATAGATAGATTTAATTGAATGGATAGATGGAGATAGATTACATTGATTACATTGAATGGATGGATGGATAAATAGAGATAAATAGAGATAGATAGATAGATAAATAGATAGATATATTTCATTGAATGGATGGATACATGGAGATAGATAGATAGATAGATAGATAGATAGATAGATAGGGTTGTATGATATTAAAGTGGACCTGTACCTGATGGACCACAGGACTGTGTCTACACTTGAGGTCTATCTAATGTTTACAGCAACAACATCACTACATGTGACTCTTATGTTATGTCTGTATTTTTTTTCTGGTATAGTTACATATTAATACGTGTTTTTATTTTACATTTTAAAAATCATAATAAAACAAAAAAGTTATTAGCAAAGGCGAGCCGTGTCTGGTAATGTGGCCGTGCCAGTCTATTATTTAAACATTGTGCATTTGCTAATGCTGCATCTCTCCCTATTGACTGCAGTGGTCCATACACCTGCAAGCAATTTGCTGAACTTCAATATAAGAGAATTGCAGAGAAATGGAGGCTCACCTTTTTTTTTTCTTCTTTTTCTCAATACATAGCAAATTTGGCTTTCAATACGTTATCTCTTTTGTTAATGCAAAAAGATTCCCTGGGCGAAAAAATTGCTCATAATTACCAGAGAGATGGGGAACTGCATTAGAATAAATAAACCTAAAATTACTGTAATTATGTTTTGTTTGATGGGCTCGGCTTGTAATCAAGAAGAGAATACGACAAAATGATGCTGACCCTCTTGGGTTTGCAGCTGTATGCTCACTTTGAGGTCTCTTTTTTTTTTTTTCTTTTTTGCAGAAAAGAGTCATTTCGGTGATCATTAAGCTGTGTGTAACCTATTTTAGAAGTGTTTTAAAAACGAGGTTCATGTTTTGTTTTTGTTTTTTTTTTTAATAAGGGGGGGGGGAGGGGGAAGCATTTTCCCATTACAGGTTGATGTATAAGAAAATGCATCGCTTTTATAGAGTAACAAAATACAAACACGTTATGGAGAATTATCATCGGGGAGTACTGCTTAATGAAGTATCGCACATGTATGGGCTTCTGGGGTTCTATTTCTTGGTAAAGGGCTTGAAGGTTTATATTATATCATAGGGGCAGCCAATAATGACTAATTTTAGAATTTTGAGGGCAGTCAATGGAGATGTTCAATTAACTTGAGATAGATAGATAGATAGATAGATAGATAGATAGATAGATAGATAGATAGATTAAATTGAATAGATAGATAGAGTTGTGGATGTTATTTTGGATTGAGCACAATATCTATCTATCTATCTATCTATCTATCTATCTATCTATATATCGATAGATAGATAGATAGATAGATAGATAGATAGATAGATAGAAAGATGACAAAGCCTCCTTTGTAAAAAGCGATTTAAAAGCTTTAAACTGTCACTTTCTGTGTTAAAAGGCCCGACATTATTACGAATCCAGCGATCCATTCACATTATCTGTCTGTCTGTCTATGATACATTTTTTCTCATGTGCCCTGGTGAAGAAACCCCTGAGACTTACAGTTAATGATCCAGTATAAGAAACGTTTTTGTGATCTGCAGGGTGTATTGACAGAACAATTACAATTTGAGATTTCTGAAAGAGGGGAAAATCTATAGAGGTCCAAAGTAAATATGGCCAGTACTCTGAGAGACAAAAGTGAGAAAGCAGTAGTAAAAAGGTCACCTAGGCAATTTCAGTGCTGGCATTGACTTGGTGACAGGTTCAGACGCTTCTTGGACATCTGAGGCCAGATGTGATCAGAGTGTGACTATGGGCGATTTACCACCTTGCAGCTGTAAAAGGTGATACCAGCCACCCTATGGCACTAACTAGTAAGACTAACCAGGCATCTGGAGTGCCTGCTGTTGTTGCAAGATGGGAAGGTAGTAAATTATGCTTTAAATAATTAACAAACACTCTCCCCAAAAAAATCCTGCTGGTCCACTCCCTTCATCAGCTACTCCAGTTCCTACAGGCAGCGGATCTCTCGTGGGACACTCACTCTCTCTCTCTTCAGTTTGTTCAGTCAAGATTTGAAAATGAAAGAGAGAAGCTGATTGGTTGCCATGCACAGCTGCATACAATTTTATCTGCTCCAGTTGTAATACATTCCCTTCATTGACTTCAAAAGCTATACAAACTGTATTAATAATTATAACATTATTATTAATAATTTTATTGTTGCTATTATTATTATTATTATTATTAGAGTCAGGATTCTTTGTGTAGGAGAATGCAGTCTTGTAACGGTCAGATGCGCTGAGTTGTACCATTGGCCGCGGCAGCTCAATGTAAATAATACCTTGAAATAGTAACAATGTACTGTTATCCAATTTTCTGCTTCACTGTTTCCTCTGATTTTATCACACCGAACGATCAGTAATGGTCTTCTGGCTTGACACTTTTTAACTGTCCCAAGGTAAATTAGAAGTTTGCAAAGACATAGAGGAATAGCATTAGATAACCCTTCGGAGATGTGATTTTATTGAGATGTACTCATAAAATGACATCAATATTGTAAGTGCTCGTATTTGCAGCATGGCGTGTTCTTCGTGGCTACATGCTGGAAATAATACGTTATAGGAGTCATTTTGTATACCTAAATAAAAGATCAAGTGATGTCTACGGAAACGTATTTGTGGCTATTTTGTTTAAAGTCTAATGCTTAGGTTTTGTTCCATTACATATCTAAAAAAATGAATTTATCATTTGTTAATACAAATTGTATTTTATTGGCACTTTTAAGAGTGTTTTAAGCAGCTGTCGTTCTTAAAGCCAATAAAAAATAAAAATTTGGGGGAACAAAAATGTTGACACTTTCATAAAATGGGTTCTTAGTCTGTAAAAATCCTGTATGTAGTACAGACTGCAAGAATTTTTGGACATAATCACCTCTATTTGGGCAAGTTTACACAAAAAAATGTATGTGTAAATATATGTATGTGTCTATATAGACATAAAAACCATTTTTACTGTCTTAAAGAAACCTTTATAACTTATTTACAAAGTGTTTTGATTTTTTTTCTTCCTTTAAGATACAAAGCAATAAGTTAACATTTTCAATATAAAACTAAACTTTTGACATATAAGAACACTAAACACAACTGTTCTCAGTAATCACAGATTCCAAAATTTCACAAAGATGTCAAAATTCATCCTTCATACTGCCACCATACTGCACTGCAATAGGTGGGTTATCCAATTGCCAGCATGCAAGGGGTTTATATATGCAAACTGGGGGACAAGGGGGATTCAATTGGTATTCTAGACAAATTGTAATAAGATAAATTTCTACAACAGCCAATTGTCCTGTTTTTTTCAGGATTTTGTACTGTATCACATCATTGAAATATTGGGTAAACAGGCCCTATTTTGTCTAAGCCATTTCACAGGTTATTTCTACAGGACAGAGGGTGATAAAAAATGCAGAAAACACAGAGTACCAACCCCAAAGTACAAAAAGTTTAACAATTGTTTATCTATAACGCGAATCTTTTTTATTATTATCAAACACTCCAGTTTCTCCAGTTTCCCAAACTGGTATTTTCTATCACGCTTGTGTTGATGCACATTTGTTTTTTCTTCCAATAAATAAGAAATTCGCTGATCCACCAAAATTGAGACAGTTCCTCTGGAATGGAGATCGAATAATGGGCTCCTATGGGGGTATTTGCTGACTGTGTGTTGGATGAATGGGGGGAGAGGTTGGAGAATGAGCACAAATTACCAAGACATAGACAGACATAAGAGGGTCGATGTCATTGTTCCCCCATCTACGAACATCTTTGCTTCCAATTGTCCTCAGGGTATGGTGTATACTAGTATTCTCCACTCCCTGCTTCCAAGCTCTCCAGTGCCTGGGCATAGAATGGGTAGAGAGTGCTCTGCCAACTGTTGGGTACCAGCCCGCATTAAGTGTTTGCATGATGTGCGCTCCACCACTTTGTCCACTGGAGTCACCACGGTTCTAAAGGCACAGAGCTTCTCCTCTAAAGTGGGGTTGTTGTTTTTTGCCAGATAGCAGTTTTATGAAAAAGGTCCATTTTGGGGAGATTTGGCCGCGGGGATCACATCAGCTGAGGCTGCTGCATAGCTTCTTGGTGAGCTGATGGGTACCAAGAGGTGTAGCTTGGAATGTAAGCAGTCCCAGAGGTGGCCTTCCCAGAGGAAGTGGAGCTGTTCCATACCGGGGGCACTGGGGGGGAACCGGCAGAAAGTGCCCTACCATTAGCCAGAGCGCTGCTATCCAGTGCTGCCCCCCCTTGCTTCATCAATTTCTTGAATTTAGACCTTTTGTTCTGGAACCAGATCTTCACCTAAAGGAAGCAAACGGTTCATAGTGTTAGAAGATCTGATGTTTATAACTAGACACAATCTCAACACGTTTTATCACCACCTGGTGTTATATCAATACATGTGCATGCATACATGTAAACAAAACATACACATATATTTACATATAATTTACATACATAGTATATATGTACAAAAATTAACGTGCCTACATCATTTGCTGACTTGTTTTTAATAAGAAATGTATTTAAGTGCATGCAATAATATCTAGTTAGGCTTTTCTAAGCATTATGCTTATATTGTCTTTAATCTTATATGTTTCCCTCTGTACACATAACTAGATTCTATGTGAGACATTTCCATCACTTATTATGAATTCTTGTTTTATAGTTCCATGCTTTGCCCGGTATTAATTTGATGATTAAACAGTTTCCTAAGAATAATCTCAGAATCAGTGTTTTCAGTTTCAGGGGAAACAAAAAAGAATGTAAACCACTGAGAGGTAACGCACACACATAACAATAGTCAATGCTATAATCAGGTTAATTATAAATATACGACAACATATTGTTTTATATAAAATAATGATCGTACATATGAAATAAGCGTTCAGGGGGCAGTTTGTATAGTAAATGTCCTCGGCTAGGTGTAGTGATCTCTGTCGTGCTGATCTATTTATTTTTTATTAAATTTGGCAAGCACGTGTAACATACAATTAACAAAATCCCTTCAGTGTATCCTGTCAAGATGGATTGTTCATATAGTTGATTGTTATAAAATACCATCACTTGCTCTTTGAAAACTCCACCTTACTTTACTTAACCATTTAGAAACCAGCATCGAACACTTGCAAGGGCTCCTAATGTACCGAGCGAAACAACTTTTTGTTTTATATGTTACGTTCAGACTATGAATATGTTTTATATGTTACGTTCAGAACACACAAACCAGGACATAATTGTAATCTACATATAAAGAATCAGAGATGAATACACATCAGCTGCCATTGCTTTAGACTGAATTAAGATCATGACATTCCAATGCACCTCCAGCAGGCAAATGCCGTCTTTTGTTTGGCACCTCGGTGCTCTGTAGCTGGGGCACTCTTTTATTATTGGGCTAATAAGTAGAATAATGACTGTTATATATTTTATATATATTTTCTAGGATATATCATACATCAGAGCAGGGTGTCCCCGATTACTTTATAAACAAGGTGCCAGAATAGTGACGCTAAAGTAAGGTTTGATATCGATGCAGCCTTTAAAAGGCATCTGCTTAGGTAGTGCCAAGGGTGCCTATAGAGATTAAACGGAGGTTTCTGGCACAAAGGGACTTGAGTTGTATTACACCAGGTATAAGAAAGAGCACTGGTGCCAATGTATGAGTTAAGCAATGTGAGTGAAGAGTCCTACAGCATGTGTTGCATCCGGGTTCTAGGTCTGTAAAATGGTTGGCTGGATATGTAAGAGGGGTATATATAGACTATGCCACCTAGGTGCCAGGGTTACGTGTTAAACTGCCCTAGGACAGTCATCTGGGTGTCAGGACTTAAAGCAGGGTAGCAGAGTATTAAAGAGAGGTGCATAGACTGTATGGCACCTAGGTGCCAGGGCTACGTGTTAAACCTGCCCTGAGGCAGGCTTCTGGATGCCAGGTCTGGAAGAAAGGTGGCGGGATATATAAGAGTATATAAAAAGGGGCATATGCCATCTAGGTGCCACGGCTACGTGTTAAATCTACCCTGGGACAGGCTTTTGGAAGCTAGGTCTGGAAGAAGGGTGGTGAAACATGTAAGAGGAGTATATAAAAAGGGCTATATGCCTCCTAGGTGCTAGGGCTACATGTTAAATCCGCCCTGGGACAGTCTTTTGGATGCCAGGTCTGGAAGAAGGGTGGCAGAATATGTAAGAGGAGTATATAAAAAGGGCTACATGCCTCCTTGGTGCCAGGGCTACGTGTTAAACCATAGGGCTGTGTGGGCTAGGTGCCCCCTGGGTAGAAGAAGCACATGAAATCAGTATAGAGTACCTGTGTCTGGGTAAGTCCCAAGGACGCTGCCAGCTCCGCTCTCTCGGGTAGTGCCAGGTACTGAGTCTGCTGGAACCGCCTATTCAATGCCTGCAGCTGCAGACTGGAATATATAGTCCTTGGTTTCCGAATCTTCTTCCCTTTGCCATTAAAGCGAACCTCTCCACCTTCCACCACCGTGCTCTTCTCCGTCTCTGTCCCTGCATGGCACACACACACAAGCCAAAGCCAAAACAACAACAAAATATCAGGTTTAAAGCTGACAAGTACACACAAAAAAACTAATAACCGAACAGATCAAGTGTAAGAAATCACACACAAAAAAAGCTCCAGCAGCCAGTGCAAGCGTTTTTTTTTTTTCTTTCCAGCATGCTGCAGTTTAGGTTTAATTACCCTTAATTGCATACATTGTTTATAGCGCCACGCAATAAATAATTAGGCAGGCTAATGCGCGCACATCTGGGCTGATGCTGCAATGGGCGCACAGAGCTGGCTGGCTGCAGGCTTCGCCCGGGCGATCACATAACAGATAATGTCCATTGTACTGTACCTGTCTCCTCTAAGCGGCTCTGGCTGAGGCTGGAGCTGTTGGGGTAGGGCTGCACGGTACTGATGTAGGGATTAGAAGTATGGCTGCTCACCGAGTTCACATAGGGGTAACCCAGCGGTCTGGAGAAGGACGAGGCGCCGCTGTACGAGCTGTCATGCTGGGAGTGCAGGCAATGCATGGAGTAGTGTCCATGGGACATGGGGGACGGTGGCATCTGCTGGTTCGGCGGCCCAAACTCCATGAACACCGCCTTCCCTGACACCGGGCTGTTAAGACTTTCTGGCATAGTAGTCATGGTCATTGCTTCTGTCTTCCTGGTTTTTTTTTCCCTGCCTCTATTTTTTTTTAAAAAGGGTGGGGGGGATATAGTTTTCCCTTATTTTTTTTTTATGGATCCCCCCTTTTTTAATTTCCAACGGGGGTCCTCCCGCTACAGGATGAAAAAAAAAATAGGGATCCCAGTTTAAGCGGATCGGATTTTTTCACTTTCCATTCATAAGAAAATGGAGTTTTGCCTCTTTGGGGGAAAAAAAGCGAAAAAAAAAAGTCCTAAGCGCGAGGCTGTGTAGAGCTACACAAACTCGCCCAAGAGCTTTGACTCAACCCGCTTTGCATATTCATGAGGCGGCGCGGCGGATTGGTCGGCTGGCTGAATCCGGGCGCTGCCATTGGCTAAAGCGCGCCTCGCGGGGCAGCGCGCTGACTAGGGGAGTGAGCGTGGAGAAGAGAGCAGAGGAGGCTTCCCAGTGGCCTGTGATCTGCCATCTATAACAACACATTACTAATAAAGTCTAGGGGACCCGGGACGTATACAAACACAGTGAGATCAGCACACAGTTCAGGTACACAAGACGATGGATTGTTTTAATCAGCCGCATCGTTTATTTTTGTTCCTTCTCCCCATATTTTACAATTGCCCGGGTTTTGGCGTTCGATACAGCAAAAGTGAAGCGCCCACACAGCACTTTTCCACTCAATTTGTGATTTGAGGCAGCAATAATAATTCGCTACACCACAGTGAGAAAATCTGTCACATCCTGTAAACATGACATCTGCACACTGCAACACTGACTAGGCCTGGCCGGGGCTGCTGTCTGGGCTGCACACACCAGTGACCCCCTAACCCACATGTGTTAATTACTCCAGGGGAAAGGGCTCCTACAATAATAAACATATACCTGCAAATAAGATCAGGTATCAGTGCCTAATGATGCTTACACCCATCAACTGCAGCAAAAACGCATACCCTCTCACTCCTGCAATGATTGGAGGGCTCATTAAATAAATAGCACGGTCAATTGAACAATTTTATCAAATGTATTAATGTTTAAATCCATAATGTCTACATGCAATGCTTGCATTTAATTTATTTATAGCCTGGTACAATTACAAATGACACATGTCTAAATATATGGTAATTCTAAGTGCATTATTATACTGCATTATTGTCAGCATTATATATATAAGTGCATATACTGCATTATTGTCAGCATTATATATAGAAGTGCATATACTGCAACACACTGCATTATTGTCAGCATTATATATTTAATATATAATTTTGCACAGACATAAAGCTGCCTACCTACTTACCTGTATAGAATGTCACCTAATGCGTGTGCATATCTATCTATCTATCTATCTATCTATCTCATTTTGCACAGGCATAAGGCTGCCTATCTTCTACCTGAATAGAACATATTATCTAAAATGTGTTTTATATATTTATATATAAATAATGCTGACAATAATGCATAATTGCGTTTATGAATGTGTACATAAGTTATAATATGTGTAATATGTTATATATGTGTATACATTAGAAATATAGATATATGATTTTGACAGTGAAATAGATGCAACACAATTATGTGATTACCATAAACCCATGCATATACAATGTTCTAATACAGCATTAATAATTCAGAATAAAAATACAATAGTAAAGTAATAATAAATCACAGTACACCAATATGGACGGAAACGATATATTGCATGCACCTGCAATTGCTCAAACTCTTATTTCACAGACATAATCGTGTATTTATTTATCTCAGTGTTCCCTGATATATAGAAATACATCAGATCATTCCATATTCTGTGCAAAGTGCAGGAAGCTGCAGAAGTATTGGGGAGCCCGGTGCCTTTGTATTGTTGGCGGGAGCCTTGTTCTCCTCCGGCACAGGGAGATTCCCTCCTGACTTTGGTGAGATAATTAGACAGCGGCGGTAATAGTTTCTTTCCTAATTCGGTGGTGTGACTGTACATGGCAGAATGATCCTGTGGAACTGGTTCACACGTGCAGCTGTATTGCTCCCTGATTCATTTGATTAAATGCTAGTCTCAAGTGCTCTGATCCCCAGCTGAAGCGGCCTCATTAGCATAACACTGATGTTTAATTTTCATACGCATAATTAGCCATATATTTAACAATAATAGCAACATGCTGCCTTTCACCATTAAACAGCCTGGGATTTGATCCTGCCTCAGCTGAACTTGCAGCACTGCTATCACTATTCCAGCTTGTGCGAGGCTGTGGTCAGGCGATGGGATCACACAATATTGCTGTGATATTGATATCCTAATAATTCCATCTCTAGCTTTATAAAGTACATACTCTGCCTGATAGCGGAGAGGGAGCTGGGCTATTCTAAAGGGGGAACCTGGCATTGTAAAGACTAGGTGTCACCATAAAAGACATATTAATGTATACAGTCGTGGTGCAGGGAGCAGTGATAATTCACTCGGGCCAGGTAGGGTGATTTGTAATTCCGCTTGTTTTATACAAGAGGAAAAAAACAAGAGAGACTAGCAGAAGCAATACAATACAAAGCTGCTGAGTGTTTGGGATGAGGTCCTGTGTATTAGCTTACTGTCTGCTGGCCATTCTGTGCCTATTACTGCTGGGTGACACTGGCAGCTCATCCAGTCATCTAGGTGCTGGAGACAGTGACATGTAACATTATTACTATTTTGTGGGTATGAAATCATAGCAATGTAAAGGCTGCAATAAAGAAGCCAAGATCAAACCACTTCTAAATAAAAGAACTAAAATATTGTCCATATATCATAAAAATTGATTACTTTTGTTTATTATTAAGGATCTTATTGCTTCAAGTGTTGGGGAAACACTGCTTTTTGAACAATGAAAATACATATGTAATTGAGATAAAAAGACAATTTTGTCTTTGCTCCACCACTTTTGTTCCCCTGGAACACAATCTCATTAGGAGTTAGAGCACAAATAATAAAATATTTCTTTATGACTTGATTTTGCCAGATCTGTCCCTTTGGTACAAAAGGAAACAATGGAATCATCACAAATATTAAATATATCCTGCTCTCTAATTATTTTGCCTACCATTCTAAAGTAGATGTACACCATAACCACATGACATAGTTTACTAAAGCACTGTGTAGTGTGCCCCGCACCTGCGATTTTTAATGTCAATTTAAAAAAACAACTTGTTTTTACCTTATTTTTTAACCTTTGTTTCCTCTCAGTGGTTCCCATCTCCTGCAGACTCTTTGCAGCCACTTTCTGCCTACATGCTCCAGTGATCCCTGCATGGCATTTCCCAAGGGGTATTTCCTGAGGAAGACAATGGTGGACCATGGTTATGTGTATTGTTTGTTAAAAGCACCAGCTGTAGTCTCTATATTAGAAACCTGTGTGGCAGGGTGACAACACAGGAGTTTAATTGGGAGGCAGGGACAGTGTGTTGTCACCATATAACAGGAAGTACCCACAAATTACTTAATGGTAGGATTGCCAGCAATTCGTTTAAGACAAGATGCAGATTTACAATTTTGAAAATGACACCGACATGTTACAGCTTATATGAAATTTCATGGTTGGGTTTACATACACTTTACAGCAAACAGGTCACTTGTGAGACAAGGCAGACAGACAGAAGCTGCTCCTTTTTTTCACATTCACACGTCCACTGATAAGTATTCAGCAGTGAAAAATAAATTGGTTTTTGTGCCGTTTATGTATATATCCAAATTACTGTACCCAGCTGCAGGGAACCTGTATGACGCCTGACAGCTCAACACTGCTCTGTGCCTGGCTGCTGCAGAAAATGATTCAACCCAGAGTGTGTTCCAGTTTTAATATTACCTGGGTCAGTGATACTGCATAATATCAGTTATTAAAATAATGCATT